GTTCACCTATAAAGCTAGGGTCATTATGGTTCCTGCCCCTTTAGAATGACCCAGGGCAAAAGCCAAAGTTCTGACAGGAGCCCCAGGACACTATGGGGTCTGCCCTGTCCCCAACTGATTTTCCAAAGGCATTCATTCCAGCCACCGTCACTCCTGAGCCACACCAGGACACCACCCCAGGGCCGCTGTGTGCCCCACTCCCTCAGGGGACTGACCCAGTCTCTACTAAAATAGTCTGATGTTTCTTAAGCTCCTATCCCTGCCTCCCCTTATCAATTTCTTTTTTTTTTTTCTGTATCACTGCAGACTTATATCCTATATATATTTACTTGTTTATCAGTTTATTGTCTCTCTGCTCTAGAATGTCAACACAGCGAGGGCACAAACTTTTGCTTATCTTAGTCACCGCTGAATTCCCACAGCCTTGCAGTGCTGGGCACATAGTGGGCACTTAACTAAAAACCTGAGGAATGAGTGTCTGTAGAGGGCCCTGTGCACAGCAGTAGCTCAAAAAACATTCCTTCCCTGCCACTAGCTACGTGCCCCCACTTCCACGCTCCCTCGCCCCTCTCACTGACCTGGTTTACATGCCAGGCAGCACATATGGGTTCAGGGCGGCAGGGAAATCAGAGATCTGCATCTCCTGGAGCTGGTGGCAGTGGGCTAGGGACTCCTTCCTTGCTGTGCCTTACTGAAGTGGTGGAGTGAGGCCCTCAGGAGCCTCTGTCACCTGTCCTCTTATCTGGGCCTTCCTATAGCTCCCCAGGACCTGCTCAAGAGGTAAAATTCAAAGGAAACTATCATGGTAGAGAGCGTTTGCTTATGGGAATAGGGGGCAGAGTGCAGGGAAGTAACACTCTTACCTGCTACTCGCCACTCTGGAAACTGGCCCATGGATTGTGAAGGCATTTCAGCAAAACTAATGAGCTAAAGAACATGCGAGTACTAGGGGGAGTCTTTCCTACATAAGACTGCCAGGGCTGCATTGTTTTTTTTTGTTTTGTTTGTTTGTTTAGTTGTAGATGAACACAATACCTTTATTTTTTAATTTTTATGTGGTGCTGAGGATTGAACCCAGTACCCCACACATGCTAGGAAAGTGCTCTATCACAAGCCACAACCCCAGCTAACCAGGGCAGAGTTCCAAGGCAGGACTCTCAACTTGGCATTGGGGGCCAGGTAATTCCTATTGTGGGGGATTCTGTGTACTTCAGGAGGTTCAGCAGCATGCCTGGTCTCTAGTCACTAAGCCAATAACACTCTCCCCTGGTTGTGGTCAGCAAAAATGTCTTCAGACATCACCACTTGTCCCCTTGGGAGCAAAGCCATCTCAGCTGAGAAACAGAGTTCTCCCTTCCAAGCACCAAGCAGGCCTGACCTGCTTAGCTTCTGAGATGAGATGAGAAACAGTAATAGTAAAAATCTGGAAGTAACCTAAATGCCCTTGACAAGGGTCTGGTACTACAGTAATGCTTAACATGACAACTCCACTAAGTTCAGCAAATGCTTAGGTAGCATTCACCAGGTACAGGGCCCATTTAGTGCCTTGTACCTACCAATCCAACCCACACAGCAACACTATAAAGTAGACTTTTTACCACCTCCCCTTTAATAAGGAAATTGAAGAACGCAAGTGAAACGACTTGCCCCACAACCCAAAAAGGAAAGAACAGAACTGAGATGTGACCCGGGGCAGCCGGGCTTCACCTCACACCGTACCCGATGGCCTTTCAAGTTAGAGGGACTGAATTCAGGTCCCTGCTCCCCCACTTTATAACCTTCCCAAGCTTCAGTTCCCTTTGCTGTGAAACAGAGACATCAGCAGTTCCTCCACCACAGGCTCACACAGGGAGGACTCAACACAGTCCTCCCAGCCCAAGGAGTGGGTGCCGCTACTCAGCAACATTCTCTGTGGTACCAATCCTGAACACTAATACCAGCCTGGCAGTACCAGCACCGAGACCTTAAGCACTCAGCAAAAGGCTTGATGTTTGGCAGAACTTATAATGTCACCCCTTTTTCTGAAACACAAACAGGTATCCACCACATTGCCTCCATTCTGATGTTACTGAGGGTGTAAGCAGCTCATGACCCATGCATACAATTCACCTATAGCATCCTTTCAGAAAACCAATGAGTTACAGATCAACAATGAGACTTACAGGGCACAGTGTCCTGGGCATCAGGGCAGGGAAAAACAGATCAGAGGGGCTCTACTAACAGAGGCAGACTGCAAGATGTGGGAGTCAAGGCAGGCTCATAAACCAAACATCAGACTCTGAACCCCACTCTGCCGTTTGCTGTGGGACCTTGGGCAAGTCACCATCCCTTTCCTCATTTTATCCATATACTAGAGATAATAAGAGTGTAGGCCTCCAAGGCTGTGGCAGGATTAGATGAGCTAATCCACACAAGTCCTCCCAACACAGCCGACACAGCAGATGTTACGATCTCCTCTGGTAGGTGGAGACATGGGAACTTCACTTCCTACACTGTATATTTCTGAACATGTGAATTTTTACCTATTCTACCTCCTTGGTGAGAAGGTGGCGTCAAAGAGACTTTTCTCTTCATCACCCTCCCTACCCTGCCACCTACCCCATCTGTCTACTTGGAGCAGGTGGAAATGGGGACAGGAGGAGGACGTGGGCAGGCTGCAAAAGAAACCAGAACTAGAATAAGCACTAGAACAGCTTTCCTCGTCTTCTCTGCCTCCCCCGCCACACGCACCTTCCCCATACTGCCACTCAGGGCCTTACAAACCCACAGAAACTATGTCAAATTATTTTGAGTCTCTCTGGTCATGGTGCCTGGCCATGGGCTCCAAACAAACCAGGCCATAGCCAGCAGGGTCCTCCAAGAACAACTCTGACGCTACTCAGGCCCTCTCCTAGGTGCACATCTAAGGCCAACTTGGAGACTGCCAGGGCCATCTGCCTCAATCCCTCCTCCACTCTTCAGCCTCTTAGGTCAGCGGCTCTAACACACACAACATCCCCTTCTCCTGGTCCCTTGAAGACTTTACTTTCTCACTCCAGAGCCTTCGCACATGCTGTTGCCCTGACCAGCATGCTATTTACCCATTTTCATTTGCCTACTGCTTATTTCCTCAGGAGAACAGACCTCAGAGCTTGGCCTTCTCTCCCCTTCACCACACTTAACCTCTAATGACCAGCCACCTGGACGATTATCTGGGTAATGTGGCCTCCCCTGCTGGACTGGGAGCTCCACATGGCAGGAACAGAGTCTGCCCTGGTCCTCACTGTGTTCCCAGCCACATCCAGTACGGGCCAGGCCTAGAGATTTAATTCATTCTTGGAGAGGGTGGCAAACAGAATCACAATTTTATGCTCAGAGTTCTGCCGCATGAAGGTGAAACAAAAAAATCCTCCATTCACTCACTCCATAAACATGGCAATAAATGTATCAGCACTGTCTTGGCCACCAAGGATGCAGCAGTGACCCAAACAGAACCCCTACCATTAAGGAATGTGGGGATAGGCAGTAAAATAAACTCAGAAGCGAATTATACAATATATCCAAGATTGACAAATGTTATAGGAAAAGCAGCCTATGGAGATAAGATGTAAAGGAAGGTTAAGGGATTCCAACTTTATACAGAGTGATCAGAGAGAGGCTCATGGAGACAGTGACGTCTGAGCCAAAACATGAGAGCCACATGGAGTCCTGAAGAAGAGCATTCCAGGGGCTGGGAATGTGGCTCAGGCGGTAGTGTGCTCTCCTGGCATGCGTGCGGCCCAGGTTCGATCCTCAGCACCACATACCAACAAAGATGTTGTGTCTACCGAAAACTGAAAAATAAATATTAAAAAAAAATTCTCTCTCTCTCTCTTTAAAAAAAAAGAAGAGCTTTCCATGCAAGGAGAAGACAAGCAAGGCCAAGAAGTGAGGAGCATGAGGCTCCACCAGGAGGTGGAGAGGAGTAGAAAAGAGAGGGACAGGAAATATGGTACAGATAAGCCTGGATGGGCAGTACTGTAGATGCCCCTGCAAGGGCTATGCTCTCCATAGGAGTAAGATGGAGACCTGCTGGCCTGAGGTGGACAGAGGGAGGGGGCAGCACATGGAACCATCGACATCAGTACAGGGTGCTGGTCTTCAATAGGCAGGGCTGTGTCGCAGTCTTCCTTTCTAAGAGCTGTACCCAGAATAAGCCCTGTGCACTAGCCTGACACTTCCATCAAATGTCCCATGTGGGGACCAAAGAACCTGCATTTGACAGATAAGGAAATCAAGGATGAGATTAATTCCCCACAGACCTAGGGCCAGGACACAGTCAAGTAGACTGGACTCCTACTGTCAGACCCTGAGTCCTGTGTCTACCTCTGCCTCCGCTCAAAAGATAAAGCCAAAGCTACTCTCTTGTTGCCTATGCCTCTGACCCCTGGGCACTCCAGTCATTCTGCAGAACTAAGCTGTCCCCAATACACACACAAATACCTGTGTCCATTCACACACACAACAGGATCCCTCCAGACCGGCTGAATGGGCACCTTCCGCACACATGCTGTTCTGTGTCATCACCATCTGCCTCCCCACCCCCAGGGACCTCTGAATCTGAAGCAGGGCCTGGTGGCCTGAGTTCCTACCTGACCTCTAGGACACCTAAAAGCAAACAGGCAGGGAGTGACCAGGGCCAATATTTAGTAAGTGCTCACAAAGTGCCAGGCACACACTACTGTTGAATCCTCCCCAAAATTCTGAGAGGTAGATAGTACAACATCCCTGTTATACAGATGAGGAGACTAAGGCTCAGAGAGAGCCACATGCACAAAAGCACAGTGAGCCCATGCAGGGGATGGGCTGAGCCTAGGGTGGAGGCACCCAACAGAACAGAGATGTGGTTACTGAGAGTCTGAACTGCTTAATTAAAACTCACACCTGGAGTCTGAGGTAGGAGGAGGGACAGGCCAGTCACCCCGCCTGGATAAGAGAAGCTCCCATGCTACAATCCCTCTCCAACACCCCAACCAGCTCACCTCAGAAAACTGGAGCAGGATTCGGAGGCCCAAACTCACACCTCCAGTTGACTCCAATCCTGACTCTACCGCCTCCAGGCTTCACAGATTGCTTCTCTGAACCTTAGCTCCCTCATCTGTAAAATGGGATTTAATACTATCAGACAAAGCATATATTTATGTTAGCTCAAAATTTTTTGGGACAACCCCGTGTTGTCACGGGAACCCACTGAGATGTGCCTTATGCACAGCTAGGGATAAGACCAGTGCCTGGGAAAAGCAGCAGCAATTACACAACGGTGAATCTGAAATCAAGGGCCATCTTGAGCTCAGTCAGGGTCAGGGAAATAAGAAGGAAACATCCAGATGACTTTCATCATGCCTACATTAGCTTGTTGAAAATATCATCTAAATGAAAACACACATTAAAAAAAACCAAACAGATAAAAAAAAGTAGACATTAAAAGGCCCCTGGATGCCAGCTTGAGAAGTTGGGGGACCTCCAAAGCAGAACATGGCCTACTTCTTTGCCCTCGCCCATCTTCTGAGCCACCACTTAAATCCAGCCAGCTCCCTCTCACACAGTGCCTCCCCACCTACCTGTCTGTCCCTCCTCTTGGGGTCCAAGTCATGGTTCCTCACTATTGTCTGGTTCCTGGGCCCTCCCACCCTCCCATCTCCTGCTACATTGATCAACTCTATGTCACCACCATACCCAGGTCTCTCTCACCTCAAAGCTCTACCTCTGCCGACTCTGCCAGCCCACCCCTTGGGGCTTCCTGCCATGGCCTGCACGCTCCTTCCTCAGAGGAATTTCCAAACCCAGTTCTATATGTTCCCATCCTCCGTACCCTCTGATAGGCTAGGTACCATTCCCGGGCACCCAAAACTACACACGGCAGAATAGGGACTCAATAAATATTTGGTGGTAGACTGGAATACACAAATGACCAAAACCAGCCACGGGCTAGCTCCTGTGGCCATTCAGGAATCAGACGTCAAGGCAGGGGAGGGATGTGCCTCCCAGTCTCCTCTCTTCTCCCAGCCTCTAGGGGTCTCTAGGGAAAGGATGTGCCATGATCAGAGTTGCACAGGCAGTAGGGGTTAGAAAGAAGCAGTCACACCCCAACGCTCAAGCTGGCATCCAAAGGAGGCCTTTCCAGGATGACTGATGCCTACTCTGTGCCAACTGCCTAGGAGAAGAGAAAGCAAGAAAGAATTCATTACAACAACTGTGATGACCCCAGGAACATTAACCACAATATCCGTCAAAAAGAAGATCTGGTCTTATAAAGGCAGGTGGAGCCAAATGTGATGGCACATACCTGTAATCCCGGCTGCTCAGAAGGCTGAATGAAGCAGGAGAATCCCAAGTTTGAGGCCAGCCTGGTAACTTAGCAAGGCTCGGTCTCAAAGTAAAAAATAAAAAAAGCCGGAGATGTAGCTCAGTGGTATAGTGCCCCTGCTGGGTTCATGCCCCATACCAAAAAGTGGGGGAGGACAGTTGTACCGTAGATGGAACTGGGTCCAAATTTTCGGTCACTGACACTGATCTAATGTGTCCCTGTACCTCTATCTCCTCCCCTGTAAAATGGGGAGATAATAGTTGTACTGAGTTCCCAGGCTGTGGGATAACTAATGAAGGGAGACACATTCAGCTTCGGAGCCATGTCCAGCACAGAGAGGCCACTCAGCTAACAATTCTCAATAACAACACAGATAGGCTATGTAGCTTTCAGTTCCGCAGTTTCCCATTTACAAAATGGGGTGACAACACTGTCCACCCCCAAGGCTGCCGTACAGGTTGTAAACTAATTGGCTAACTGGCATGGGGTACTTATCGCAGCTCAGGGTGGGGCCCTCCCAGGTGAGCGCCTCAACTAACAGATCCCCCACTCTTCCAAGGTTCCAACTTTGAACCCACCCTGCCAATAGATAAGTGCAAGCTGGCTGTCCCCAGAGCCCTTCTCTACTCTCAGATGCCCATCAACCCCAGCCTCCCTTCCCAGAAACAGCAACTCAAGTAAGTCAAGCACTTTCTCAAGAGGCTGACACTTTCCAAGGCTAGACTCGAACTTTTGATCCTCCTGCCTCAGCCTCCCACATATGGGCTCCCTAACACCTTAGCTCCCTAAGCCCTCCCACACCCCGGCTGCGCAGGCCCTTCAGAAGTAAACCAAGGTCCCCAGGGTTCCATGGTAACTAAGGGGTGTCAGAAGCAGAGCTCTCTGCCATTAGTTGTCCTCAGCCTGGATTATTTGGCAGTCCAGGCAAGGTGAGGGCAGGCCAATAATCCACCAGTCAGTGAGGAGCCTGAGAGCAAGCCAATAAGGGGAACAAGGCAGTGGCAGCAGCCCCCGTCCATTAGGAAAGGGCCCACAGGGTGGCAAGCAGAGGAAGGCTTGGATTTCTGGCCTCACCCTTAGAAACAACATCTGTAGACAAGCTTCCCAGGCAGGGCAGCTGGGCTCGAGGAACTTCCTGCAGGAACCTCTGCCATGGAGTCTCTCCTTGGCTGGCCCTGGCGTGCTGTCCCTGCTCAGTGCACTCAAGAGCACCCAGGCCCTACTGTGGGTGCTAAGCTGGCAGTGGGTCCTGTCCCAATGGGGCCAGGCCAAGATCCCCACTCTGTTCCCTCCCATACTCGCTCCCTCCCTCCCTCCCTCCCTCCTGGTCCTGCTCCGGAGCTGTCTCCCCAGCTGGGCCTCTCGCTGCTTGGCTGGCTGTCCAAAAGAGCCTGCCACGGAACCACCCTACCACGCAGCCCAGAGGCCTGATGGCTAAAGGCCTTGCTCTGAGAGCTCAGGAAAGCTGGAGAGGCCCAGACAGGGGTGTTCCTGGTCCTTCAGAAGCCTGAGATTAACTGCAGAAGACACTCCTTCCCATTCCCACTTCCCAGGGGATTTCTGGAACCCCAGGAGGTTTCATCTGAGGAAGGCTCTGTTCCATCCAGAATGATACTCCAGATCAAGCCTTAGAAAACATCAGGGGTCAAGCCCACCTAGGGTTACTGAACCTCTTCATGTGCTGGAGAGATACCCCCCCCCAAGAGCCAGACCACCCAAATTCAGCACCTGGAACCAACACTTCCAGTTGGGAGACCCAGAGCAAGTTAGAGGGTCTCACTACTGTCAGGTGGGAAGTAGAACTGATTCCTTAAGTCTGCAGGGTCTTCACCTAGGTCGTGCTATGGCCCCTTCCACAGCACTCCATCACTGCCACGGGGAGGCCACCCTTGACTGTCCAGCTAAAGCGGAGTTAACGTTCCCACCCTTCCTTCCTCTGATGCCCCCTTATCTTGCCTTTATAACACCAACCACAACCTGATGTGGCACTGCAGATCCACAGGCTGGGCACCTGTCTTCACTGGAGGGTGCCCCAGGAGACCTGGTCTTTCCAACTCTCCAGCAGCACTGAGCATATCACAGGTCCAACAAGCTGAGCAGAGGGCACAATCTGCAGCAAGACTGTTTCTATCAATGTCGCAGTTCTGCATTATTTGCCATCCACCCAGCTGGCTGCATTAGGGAGGGGTGGGTGGAAAAGCCAGCCCATCGCCCCTCACCTTGCTCCCCAAAGGTAACAGCCATGGGCCCTAGGGAACACAGTGTGAAAACCACAGAAAAGGGAGGTGACCATTGGGCCTCTGCCAGTCGTAAGGCAGTGATTCCGCTCAAGGGGGAAGTGGGAGGCATGTGAAACTCCCTACCCAGCTCAGTCAATGTACCCGCCTCCAGGGAGAAGCCTGAGAACCTCTCATGGTGGAAGTCACCTTCTAACTAAAATTTGCCCAAGCTGCTCCACACTCCTCTTCTGGCAGTCTACCAGGATCTGAGGGAGCTAGGCCCTGCCTGCCCTAGCCCCTGACTCCCCTCATGGGCTCCGCCCAGTCACACAGGCCCCTGTGCAGTCCATTCCTACACCTCACCCAGTCATCCTCCCTTTGGACCTAACCACTATGGGTGCCCCCACCTGGAAGGCTGTTCCTTCACTGATTCCACAGAACCACCTGACACTCTGATATCAGCTCCCAGGTCCTCCCTGCCACCATGTATAAGGGAGCTCCCCATAAGTCTCCATCATCTAATCTGAATTTGCTGCCTGGCATCTAAACTATTCCATGCTCAGTTACCTGTTTTACACTGTTCTCCCTCAGCTCCACGAGGTTAGGAATTTTGATGAGTGTACCCCCATAACTCAGTACCTAATGCAAGGCCAGGCAGACTAGAGGCTCAATAAATGGTGGTGGATGAATGAAATACTTTCCCAGCTCAAGGACCTCAGGATAAAATCCATACCTCTCATCTGGGTCCCAAAGGCTCTTCTAGGACTCTCCCTACCAACTCCCACCCTTGATGTCACTCTAGGAGCTATGGTGGAGAGCTAGGCATAATGGCACAAGCCTATAATTTCAGTGACTTGGGAGGCAGAGGCAGGAGGATCACAAGTTTGAAGCCAGCCTCAGTAACTAGGTGAGACCCTGTCTCAAAATAGAGATAGCTCAGTGGTTGAGTGCCCTGGGTTGAATTCCTAATGCTACCATTAAAAAAAGAAAGAAAGAAAAGCACGTGGAGAAGGGTAAGCACATAGCCTGACATCCAGAAAGATCTAGAATGTTTATCTAGGAAGGGCTCAGGGCAACAGCTATAGGTAAGAGAGAAAGGGCCTGGGAGCTGCGTTTGTCAGCTTTTACTTGATTGTGTGCCCACCACACACCATTTCTGATCTGGAAAATGGAGATGCTGATGCTGGCCCTGCCCTCTTCCTAATGTTTTCTGACATGGTCCCATGAACTAGCAAGGGCCTTCAACGACCTAGCAGGAATGATAAAAACTAGAACTGCTGGCATACCTGGGGGTGCATCTGTCTCTGTCATGTGTCCTAAGTAGAGAGAAGAGGAAGCAGTTACTGTAGGCTTACTGTTCTGCCCACAGAGTTTTAAATGCTTTCCAGAAATGAACCCACTTAGCCTTCCCAATAACCCTATCGGGTGAGACTCATGTCATTCCCATGACATGAACGATGAAACACTCTCCAAATGGTAGAGGATCCTGCTGAAGGCCACATGATGAAAAGGTGATAGGGCTGTTGTGAACTCTGCTTAGAATCGCTTCAGTGCAGCTCTTCAGAGGCTGGCAACCAG